TTTTTACGTTCCTTCTTAGATATGTTGAAGAGTTTATGATCTTGCACAAAATTATATCTAACGTTATTTAAAAATGATTGACATTTACCTAGCGGCTTGCTGAGACCAGCGCCGATTCATTGTTGCACTTGTACACAAATACTTGTAATGCTAACAGCAACACACAATAAAATGGCAGGCTCAAAGCATAATTAGGAAGGGAAGGTCGTCTGTAGTAATCTCTACAGTGGGTAGTAGAAATATGCTGTTGCATTAAATCATCATTTAATGCAGTCATTTGAATTTGATGGTTGCAATTGCCACCGCCAGGTCCGAAAGGGTTGAAGAGGATCCCACGAAAAGTTCAAAGGTCGAGGAAGGGTCGCAGGGACAGGAACTGTAGGATCGAGTTTCGTGAAGGATAAACAAGCCCTCCATTCCGACAAATGGATGCTACAAAACTTCCTAGAAGGAACAAGAAATCAACATAAAACATAGGCTGTTAGCATTGACAAATAAACATTCAAATGCATGGCACACACCAAAGTATTGCTCGATGCTGTTAGATGGCAGTTGTGAATTCTACAAATATTGCAAGTACTACGTATTAGAAAAAGCCAAGGAAATTGGAGAAGAAAAAACGGTAAAAGCTGCATGATCCTTTAAATTTATAGATGGACTTATTAGTATGGAACCTTCGGCACTTATGAAACCTCCGGTATTTTAATATTGCATACAAGACTAATATAAGTGTAGCAAATTGACGACAGCACGCGTTTGCAGGGCGATCTTGCGAGCGCGGTTCGCCGACGCTAGCAAGTCATAAATACTGAATGAAAACTTTGAAAAGCTTCACGGGTACAAAACCATTTCAATGCACAGAAGATAATCGAGGATGATAAGTGGCAAAATCCCGATCAAAAGAACGTGTAATGGTAATGAAAAGGAAACCTTCAGTTCTTTTCTCTGTAGTGGATGCCAAGCTATTTTCGATGTGGATGTACCAAGTGAAACACAAATTTTTCTTTCTTTATTCTTTATGTTTGTAAAAAAAAAACAATCCTTCACTACCTTTTACTGACATTCATGAGAGGAAATAACAAGAATGATTCGCGAGGCTTGCCAAATTTCCGCTGTGCTTAAAGGCAAGATTCAGGCTTAAATTGATGAGGTAATTCTACTCAAATGTGATGTAGGGGGGAAGGTGGACCGCCAGTGGAGAAAAAAGGAAAAAAATCGTGAAATACACAGGAAATACGAGCCTTTTGCTCTACGTGCGGAGAAGTTCAAAAGGCCGGCAGGGAGATGAGAGATAATGTGAGCGCGGAGAGCGGTAGAGAAGTCCGAGTAGAGAGAGCATAGCAGATCAGCATTGCGACGCAGACAAGATATCGAGCGGTGGGCGGAGCGTGTCGCAACAGGTGGAGCGTGTCAAAGTCTTAGCGTCCTAGCGTCGTTTAGATGCAGGAACGTGGCGCGCCTTCTGCAGTTGCGTCCCACGCCTAGTTGGCGCCCCCAGATTGCCGCCAAATAGCGCCATCGTCGAGTATAGATGTCATTGTCGTGTTCTGCGGCAATTTGGAAGCGCCAACATAAATTGCAAAAATTTGTCGTCACGGGGGATCGAACTTTGGACCATTTCTTTTCCCGCTCTCTTGACATACCCGGGGGCGTTCAGGAAAAATGAACCATGGTTCTGTGTTTCCTCACATGAGCCTCTACAACATTCAGGTAACCATATTGAAAAAAAACGCTCCTTGTCCTGAAAGACCCTGTAAGCGGCAGCGTGAAGACCAAAAGTTGTTAAGCAATAGCCCAAGATTTGACTCCTTAAAAGAATTTTTTTGCCTTCCAGGTTGGAGCTTCCTGATCCTTCAAAGTAGTGGCAGCCTGCGATAATTAGTATCACATTTCATTATCGGAACGAGTACTCCTGCGCTAAAAGATTCTGCACATCACTCCGACGCTATAGAATCACATTACTACAGCGTTTTCCGAATCCTTTTGAGCCTCTGAAGGTAAGATTTTTAGCCTCCGAATGTAACCCCAGTTTATAGTACAAGTGAGAGCCCCTTTAGTATGCAAAAAACCGTTTCAAAAACGCTAGACACCCTAGAGGACCTCGTAAAAGTAGAGAACAGCGACTGATAAACATTGTTACCAGAAATACAGGGAGCTATTCAGAGTGTCAGGTTTTCATGAAAAGAGAATTGATGACTTTCGAAAACGGGCCGGCAAAACATCATTTCATTGAATTAGTCTATTGTCAAGAATCATTGACTCCATAGAAATCATTGACTGCAGTTCGCTTTTTTAAGAAATATGAGGTCTTTCTCGATCATATGAACTATGAATCGGAATTCGAGAGCAAAACTGGAATTGCTACTAGGCTGAGAACACGTATTTCATCCAACGGAAAATGATTCAAGACAATAAGGCTTTTAAAAAATTTGATATTTAAAGCAACAACCCCAGATCGATTTGGTGGGCTAAAAGCGGTTGATAATGAAATAGTGAAGACGGCTTAGCTGAAATGAAAAAGAAACAAAGACAACTGCCGATGAAACCCTCAAACAAAGACTCCCCTCTTCCCCTTTGAATAGCGAGGGGCGTGGCCGGACGAGTTGTCGGAACTGGCTTGCTCCGCCGGCATATTCTAGCATTGATGCGGCTGCAATCGCATATGCACCAATACACAAAAACTACGGTAATCAAACGAACTAAGCAATTAAAACAAATCAAAAGACCGATTGCATTCTTTCCAAGCCAATCACACGATCTCCACAGCTATCGATGAAAAGGCAGACGGCACAACTATCCAGCTCCTCTTACTTTCTTTTTGCTTTCCAAAGTGAGTTTTACCTTCATGTGTTCTCAAATAGGGCTCAAACATCTTTTCACTTACAAGGGAGGTCGTTCAGGGTGTGCCAAGCTTTTTCAAAATGGTTTCTTGCATGACATTGGGGCACATATGGGGACCACAGAAGCATGGTTCATTTTTCCTGAACGGCCCTCTGAATACCAGAAAAGGGGTCCCTAGTTCGATTCCTCGTGGTGACAAATTTTTGCATTTCGAGTTGACGTTTCCAAATTCGCGCAAAATGGAGTTAGCATGAATAATTAGTACCATATTCATGATTAGGACCGTCAGTAACCCTTACAAATAGACTTTGATTGAAAAACTGGTGAAAAGGTGTGACTAGGGACCCCCTTTTGGTATTCAGAGGGCCGTTCAGGAAAAATTAACCATGGTTGTGGGGTCCCCATACGTGCCCCAATGCCATGCAAGAAACCATTTTGAAAAAGCTTGGCACACCCTGAACGACCTCCCTTGTAAGTGAAGCAAAGTTTCCTTT